CCATCTCAACCTTCACCACTAGATGGCACTAGTGCTGGCCTCCAACATGGCAGTTTCTGGTTCATGTACTGTTGCAACTTTTTTTGAAATATGTTCCACAAAATTTTACTTGCATGTGACATTAATAACATTGATTATTTCTGCATTCCATTGGGTCACCTTTCTTTGGAATGGGCAAAGGTATAGGCCTTTTCCAATTAGTTTGCCAGGTAGCTATCTTCCAAATTTCTTGACACAGATAAGTAATCAACTCCAGTGTTGAAAGTTTTTAAATCTGTATACTGTTAATTCTGGAGTCTTGTTTCTTACCAATACCTTGAGGGCAGCTTGGACTTCTTTACTCACTACCATCGTTTCTTGGTTGTATACTACCTCTTGAAATGGTTGAATATCAACCGTTCTTTTTGGTACGATGACTGTGTATACCATCTTCTTTTGATGCTTTCTGCACCACTCAATAATTTGTCCACAGAATTCTACAATATTGCAATGTGGGGCTTGAATTTTTTTCTTCAGTTCTTTCAGCTTGAGGAATGCTGAGTGTGTTTTTCTCTTTTGATTTTTTAATTCTAGGTCTTTGCCAGTTTCGTTATACTTGATCTTCTTAAGCTGCTCTTTGAAATACACTGTTCAGGTCTTTTATTTCCTCATTTCTTCCATTCACTTTGACTTCTCTATGCTGAATGAGCAAGTTTCAGAGTCTCTTCTAACATCCATTTTGGTCTTTTCACTCTGTTCTTTTTAATGACCTTTTCCTTTCTTCCTGTATGATGTTCTTGATGTCATCCCACAACTCTTCTGGTCCTTAGTCTTTAGTGTCTAACGCATCAAATCTATTCTTGAGATGGTCTCTGAATTCAGGTGGGATATATTCAAGGTCTTATTTTGGCTCTTGTGGACTTGTTTTATTTTTCTTCAGCTTCAGTCTTAACTTGCATATGAGCAATTAATGGTCTATTTCAGTCTGCCGCTGGCCTTGTTTTGGCTGACGATAGTGAACTTTTTCATTTCTTCCAACAGATCTGGTGAGATCCATATGCATAGTCACCTTTTATGTTATTTAAAAAACTAGGTAATTGGTCTTATAAAATTCTATCGTGCGAGCTCCAGCATCATGTCTATCATCAAGGCCACATTTTCCTACTGATCCTTCTTCTGTTTCCAACTTTCACATTTCAATCACCAGTAATTATCGATACATCTTGATTGCATATTTGATCAATTTCAAACTGAAGAAGTTGATAAAACTCTTCAATTTCATCATTACTAGCTTTAGTGATTGGTACATAAATTTGAATAATAGTGGTATTAACTGGTTTTCCTTGTAGGCATATGGATAGTAGCATATCACAGACAGTATTGTACTTCAAGATGGATCCTTGAAATGTTGTGATAATGAATGTGGCGCCATTCCTCTTCAATTTGTTGTTCCTGGCATAGTAAACCATATGATTGTCTGATTCAGAATGGTCAATACCAGTCTATCTCAGCTCATTAATGCTTAGGATATCAATCATTATGTGTTCTATTTCATTTGTGATAACTACAATTTTCCTAGACTCGAACTTCATACATTCAGTATTCTGATTATTAATGGATCTCTGCAGCTGTTTCTCCTTATTTTGAGTTGTGTCCCATCAGAAAATGAAGGTCCTGACAGTTTTGTGGCATTCATGTCAACATAGTCAACTCTACTTTGAGAAGGCAGTTCTTCCTCAGTCGTATTTTAAATGCTTTCCATCCTGAGGGGCTTATATTCTGGCACCATATCTGACCATGTCCTGCTGCTATTCATAATGTTTTCATTCTCTTGACACCATAATGCCAATGTTCTGCTACTTTTCCTAAGTTTTTCAGTGGTTAATCATTCACAAGTAGTCTGCCTCTCCTTCTTGTTAGTGTGTCTTACTCTGAAGCCTGTCCACTATTGGTGACCCATTCGTATTTAAAATATCAGTGGCTTCCAGCACCACAGCAACACACAAGCCACCAAGATAATAATAAACTGACAAGTGGTGGAAAAGGGAACTAGTTGTTGCGATTTAGAGACTTTGCAGAGACTCAACCTTGCCATAACCCAAACCTCTGAAATCTTTGTCTCTTTTTCACAGTTCAGTGCATCTCACTTTATGGGTCAATTTAGTCTAAAAAGGGGGATTTAAATATCCTGGAAGATGGTTGCTTAGGGTTATTATTATACTGCTGCATTATATATATTTAAATCTAATGTCTACTGTTTTGAAAACCTATTCACATCATTTTGATAGGAAATGCCTTTAAAATTCCAAACAAGAGATTTAAATATGAACTTTTGAAACAACTTTTCAAAACTTGTATATTCAGAGGAATGGAGTTAAAAACACAATTTCTGCCAAATGGACAATTGAATATCAATGCTCTGTTCACATTCACTATGTTGTTCTTAGGTGCCATTGAGTCAGTACCGACTCATAGCGACCTTATGCACAGCAGAACAAAACACTGCCCCATCCTGGGCCAACCTCGCTACTGTTGCCACGCTTGAGTACACTCATGCTGCCACCTGGCCAATCCATCTCATTGTGGGGTCTTCCTCTTTTTCTCTGACCCTCCACCCTACCAAACATGATATCCTTCTGCAGAGACTGGCCCCTCCTGAAAATATGTCCAAAGTATGAGAGATGAAGTTTGGCCATCTTGGCTTCTAAGGAGTACTCTGGCTGCACTTCTTCCAAAACAGATCTATTGGTTTTTTTGGCAGCCCATGGCACTTTCAATATTCTCCTCCAACACCATAACTCAAAAGCTTCAATTCTTGTACAGTCTTCCTTATTCACTGTCCAGCTTTCACATGCATACGACTCGACGGATAAGATGAGCACCTGGGTCAGTTACACCATAATCCTTTAGCTGATATCATTGCTCTTCAAGATTTTAAAAAGGTCTTGTGCAGCAGATTTGCCTAATGCAATACATAATTTGATTTCTTGACTGCTGCTTCTGTGAGTGCTGATAGTTGATCCAAGAAGAATGAAGTCCTTGACAACTTCAATCTTTTTTCTGTTGATAAGAATGTTGTTTATTGGTCCAGTGGTGAGGATTTTTGCTTTCTTTACATTGAGATACAACCCATACCGAAGGCTGTACTCTTTGATCTTCATCAATAAATGTTTCAAGTCCTCTTCACTTTCATTAAGCAAGGTTGTATCATCTGCATATTGCAGGTTGTTAGTGAGTCTTCCAATCCTGATGCCATGTTTTTCTTCATAGAACCCAGCTTCTCAGATTATACAGTATAGATTCCAAAACTTTGGCATTTTCAATGAGAGCTATTTCATGCTTCTGCAGTAGCAATTTATCATAGAAGATTGGAAAGAATACCAAATCACCGCCTTTTCTTGACGTTTTATGTTATTAAAGCTTTAATATCTACTCTTTCACAGCATGAAGCACTAGTCAGCAGTGTGCCTTGCCTCATGTTAACCATGTCAAAACTTAAGCCATGTGAAAGAAGAGATCCTATACATTTGTGCTTACAACAGCTCCTGTTACATAAAGGAGTTACCACTTAGTTTTTCAGGAGCTTTGTGTTACGTGCTCTTCATAAAATATCCAGTTTAACCTGCTAGATGACTGGATGTGTTATTATTCTCAGTTTTCCTAGAAAGAAATTAAAACTTGGAAAGTTCATGTAGTTTATTAAGTCAGGACTCGCTGAGCCAAGAATCTTATCTCCCATGTGAACTATTTGCCACTCTCACGCCAAAGAATCACATTTGCGAGCATTTCAAATGATTTACTTTGAGAAAGAAGTAACATCTAATGGTGCTTCTCTTAAGAGACTTTTCCTAAAAAAAAAAAAAAAAGAGAGAGAGAGAATTTCCTGTCAGTTAGTTTACGTCAATAATTCTCAAATTTGTATGCAAGAGAATCCTCAGGTGGGTTTGTTAAAACAAATTGCTGTATCCCATCCCAGAGGATCCCTGGTGGAGCTGTAGAATAAACCACTTGGTATGCAGTTCAAACCAACCAGCCATTCATGGCCGAAAGGGGAGGCTTCCTGATCATGGGAGGAAACCTTACACAGGGTCACTAGTCAAATCGAATGCATAGAATCTGCATTTTTAACAAGTTCTACAGTGATGCTAGATGGATTGGCACAGAGGCAGCAGCAATGGGCTCAGGTGAAGCAACGACTGTGAGGTTGACTCCGGAAAGGCAGAGTTTAGTTCTGTGTACGTAGGGTGGCTATGAGTAGGTCCCTACTCTATGGCACCTAAAAACAAAAACATTTGGTGATGCTGATATTGTAGGTCAGAGAACAATTTTTTTTGGTGGATATAATCTTTTTAAATAATGGGAAAAATGGTCTGGGCAAAGCCATAACTTCAAGTTTTAGAAGCTAGGGCTCAGATTTTCTCAGGCAGCTCAGTTCCCAAATACTGGAAACCTAAGTCCTAGTGTGGCACTTAACAACCCTCTCCTCCGGGAGTCGGCGCTGTAGGCTAAGTACTCAACTGCTAATCGTAAGGTTGGCCGTTCGAACCCACCAGTCGCTCCTTAGAAACTTTATATAGGGTCTCTATGAGCGGGACCCCACTGGATGACACTTAACAACAATCCCCGCCCTAAAGAGCCCTAGCAGCGATGAGTTAGGTATTGGGCTACTAACTGTGAGGCCTATCGGCCACTGTGCGTTTTAAAATGAGGCAGTCTGCTCTGGTAATGATTTAAAAAATCTCAGAATCCCTATGGAGCAGTTCTACTCTGCCCTACAGGGTCCCTTTGAGTCAGAATCCACTCCATGGCAGTGGGATTTTTTCTTGACCTCGCCCTGGGGTTACACTTTGTGGTCTCACCCAGGAAAGCACGCTGCAGCAACCAGGAGATCCATCGCTTCCGCCCGCCTACCCGCCAGTCCTGGACCTGCAGTCTCTGGTCCCGCCCCCAGCGCCAATTCGCTCGCGGGTCACTCGAGTTCCTCCGCCCACACGTTAATTCTTTCAGTCCGGCCAGGCTGAGGCGCTGCAGCTGGAGCACTGGATCCGAGACGTGGCTCCTAAAGCGGAAGAGTCATGCTCGACTTCGCGATCTTCGCCGTTACCTTCTTGTTGGCGTTGGTGGGAGCGGTACTCTACCTTTACCCGGTAACGCCGCCTACACCCTCAAGGGTCCGGCCACCACCCGAGCCTCTCGTTTGCGTCCATTATTCCTTCCTGTGGCGGGCCACTAGAGGCTGGCATAAGGGGAGGGTTCCCACACCAGGCCAGCAGTGAGGTCACGTGATGCCTATCCCGGCACAAGGGGGTGAGCACGGGAGAGCGGCGCTAACACGTGACGACCCCTGTAAACCACCCCCCACCCCCACCCCCCGGGGCGGGGCGGGCATCCCGGAGCTGCAGAAAAGCCGGCGCGACCCCTCTCCCTTCACCCCGGAGTACTAGTGCTCGCCCTGATCTTAGCTGAAGGCGCCCGGCCTCCCCACACCCCAGTTCCTTGGCGGGTCTGAAGAACTTTGGGCGGGTTTCTGACAGCAACTGTGTCAACCCAAATTCCATTTTCTGGTGTGTCTAGGAGGAAACTCCAGGGTGCCACTCTGTCCGTGCTTCCCAAGGATTTAATAGCGGGGTCTCAGTGATTTAACATTATGTTTTGTGATCTGTCATTTCATTGTCATTACTGGAATCCAAAACCCTGGAGTCCCGGACTGCGTCTTATTCTGTGCAGGGCCTCAGAAGCAAAAATGGGGGAAAGCACTGTTTTCCCGGTTAGCGTGCCATCTAGACTCAGCTCCTTCATTTTTGAATCTCATTCTACCCTTACTCCTCTCCTTACCTTTCTTAACCTCTGAGGATGGGTTTGAATATACAGGAGGTAATGGATAAACAGGCATCTTGAAACATACTCTTCACAGAGGGCAAGTTGGTGGTTTTACTTAATAAAAGTAAATAGGAGTTAAAGGTAGTCGAGCAGTTGTAAGCACATTACTGATAATGGCAGTTCCATCTTAAATGTTTATTTCAAAGTGGTAAAAATGGTCTTGGTGTGGCGCTGTGGGTTAATGCGCTGGACCGCAACATTGGTGGTTTAAACTCACCGGCCGCTCCTCAGAAAACCTATACAGGGTCGCCGAGTCGGAACCAACTCGACGGCACTTAACAAGAGAGTTACATTGTAACTGGGGAAAATATAGTAATATATGAGGGAGCTTTAAAAGTTGGTGGGAAATAAAAGGATAATGGAAAATTTCTCTGAACATTTTGAAGTGCCCCCATACAAAGTATGTTGTTGTTAAGTGACGTCGAGTGGGTTCTGACTTACAGCGACCCTGTGTAGGGTTTCCAAGAAGCGGCTGATGAGTTTGAACCATGGACCTTGCAGTTCAAACCGACCGTGCAGTCCAGTGTTTATCCCAAGCCATAGGGTGTTAAGTATGATGGAGAAAAAAGAAGTCCACAGATGTGTAGGACTGCTTTTTAAAGTAAAATGGTCAAAAGATATGAGACATTTGAGCAGAGACTTGAAGGAGATGAAGAAACAAGCTATACACATAAATGAGAAAAGATTGTCTCAGGGAAAGGACACCATAAGCAAGCCCTCAGGGGGAAAATGGTGTGTTCCCGGAAATTAAGGAGGCAACTGTGCTGGAGTGAGGTAAATGAGAAAGGGAGTGGTGGAAAGTAAAGTCAGAAAGATGGTGCCAGGGCAGATTTTAATAGGCTTTATAGGTCATTTAGGAGTTCTGGTGTGGCGCTGTGGGTTAATGCGCCGGACTGCAAAGTCAGTTTGAACTGTAAGGTCAGCTGTTCAAGCTCATTAGTCATTCCTTGGAAACCCTATACAGGGTCTCTATGGGTAGGAACCGAAGCCTCAGCATTTAACAACAACAATAGGTCATTTTTGAGCCTGGTGTGGCATTGTGGGTTAATGTGCTGAACTGCAAAGTCATTTGAACCTCAAGGTCAGTGGCTCGAACCTCAAGGTCAGCGGTTCAAGATCACCAGTCACGCCTCAGAAACCCTATACAGGGGCACCATAGGTTGGCTTTCCAAATATCTTGGCATAGATGAGTGAATGCCCCAGCACTTCATCAGTTTGTAGAAAGATTTCAATTTGTATTCCGTCAATTCCCGGAGACTTATTCCTTGCCAATGCCTTCAGAGTACCTTGGATTTCTTCATCTTGAAATCGTTGAACATCAGCCATTTCTGTTTGGGACACTGACTCTATATTCCTTCTATCTTCTTTTGATGCTTTATGCGTCATTCAGTATTTTGCCTATAGAATCCTTCAATGTTGCAAATCAAGGCTTAATTTTTTTCTTGGTTTCCCTTAGCTTGAGAAATGCTGAACATGTTTTTTCCTTTTGATTTTCTAACTCCAGGTCTTTGTACATTTCATATTAATATTAGCTGGGGTGATAGGGAGGGAAATATACAAGAAGGGGGTTCAGCAATATACAAGAATAGGGAGGCTGGCAGAAGAGTGATGAAGATAGGTGAAAGCATAGGGAAGTATGTGTGGGCTAGAGGTAACAAATAGTGATAAAATCACTACCTTGGAATAATAGTGTTTTGTGCTTAGATACATGGATTGATACATAGGCTGAATAGGTATGGAGGAAGAGTGGGATATATATATATATCCCAAATATATGAGCTTGAAAAAAGGTGTGTATACATGTGTATTTACTTTCCTGCAAACACAACTATGAATGTGGTAGGCAAAATGATGAAAACTCCCTAGATAGTATCAAACATCTTAAGACAGTGAGTCTCTGGGCCTAAGGGCTCAGAACCATAATCTCAGGGGATACCATGATCAATTAGCATGACATAGCCCAGACAATGTTTTACATCCTACTTTGGTGAGTAGCTTCTGGGATCTTAAAAGCTCTTGAGCGGCTGTCTAAAGTGCAGCTATTGGTCTCTCCATATGTGGAAGAAAGAAGGGTGATAAGAATTGAAGAGGCTTGGAATCAGTACAATGGACTAATGGACTGTATGAGCTTCCAGTCTTCATGACCCTGAGACCCAAAGAACTAGATGGTGCCCATACTATCTGCTCTAAAAGGGGTCACATTAGAGGGTCCCGGATAGAATGTGGAACAAATTCAAAATTATTTTAAAAAACAAGACCTGGTTTGATGGTCAGAAAGTGACTAGAGGAACCTGAGACTATGGCCCTCAACCACCCTTTAGGTCTGGAAAGGAACTTATCTTCATAGCCCATTTTC